ACTGATCCAAACCGCGCGGTGGCGGAGGCGGTTCGCGATGCGACACTGCGGATTAGAAGCCAGTACTGGCAGAATCCATTGGCTTGGGCTTTGTATACTCATGTGGGAGCTTAGTGGTTTATCAAGGGGGTGTCGCATTTCAAATGACAAATGGACCCTGCGCATCCACGGTCCATCTTTTCGAGTGTCCTCATTGAGATAGGCCGTACATAATCAATTGGATGAATAGTCTTGCGTAAGTCAGTTGACTAGCACATACGACCACAGGGTGTGGAAAACAGGGCTTCCCGTCCGCTCAGCCGTACTTAAGCCACACGCCGGGAGGTTAGTAGTTGGGTGGGTGACCACCAGCGAATCCCTTCTGTTGTATGTTTTTGCTTTAATTTTATATTTTCAAAAACAGTCATGGATAATTGGATATCAATCCACTCTAGACACATGCAATACGCGCCGTGGCTTGTTGGGGACGCTATGGCTGGTGTCCTCAGGTCCGGGCTAGGCTCAGCCTTGTCGGTTTGACAGCCTCATTTGCACGTCCTTCGAAGCAAATTTGAAAGCACGGAAGGAAACCTGAGGTGCATAGCCCCCTTCCCTCGTCCTTAAATAGACGTAATTTTCCCTGTCTTTACGTCTGCAAAGCAGTTCCAGCAAAGACCTCTTTGTTCTGGCTTCTGCAAAGGTCACCACGATATGGGTTCTCCCAAGAATCCAGAGTCCGAAAGGACTATGCGGCCATCAACTCCCACCCGTATTACTACGATTTATCCCAGCCCTCCTCCCACACCCATTGCGCCTGGCAAGGCAGCCGTCTTGAACCGAGAAGAAAAGCTCAACAGGGCCGCAACCCCTCCCGGCGAGAATGACGACCAGGCCAGAACAGGCACCCTGAACTCTTCTCAAAAGGAAGAGGATCCAATACCAGAGTCAGCTGAACTACCCCCATGGCCAACCCCCACGAGCATGGAGGAGTTTATCAACTCGATGCTCAGAGAGAGTACCTGCGGGGGCTGGACAACAAACAATACGCCATGTAAAAGATCGCGCCGACCTGTGGCCAGATCTGTGGTTAATGAGGGGGTCATATCCTTGCGGAGCCTGCCCCCGTCCTGTTCCCATTCAAAAATGGTAGAATCATTGAAGAAGCTTGCGTTGTTGCTTCATTGTTCCATGCACAGGAGCGAAAGGTCGGTCAATACTCGGGTAGAGGCCTGGCTGACTGAGTATTTTCTTCGTCCCGGTGACACCACAGCCCTGCTCAGAAAGGCATTGCAAAAGTACGGTACCAAGTGCAATGGGACGAAAGATGACACAAGGCCATGTCAAGAAAGTATTGGGGGAAGACAGGTTCTGGCAATACAGTTGATCACAGACAGAATCTTGGAGCCCGAGGTCTACCTTCACGACGGAAGGTTGAAAGTATGGCTGAAAAGACTCGGCCAGAACACTCTTTGTTCCCAGCATAGAGACGAACAGCTCCAAGAGCAAGTGGCTAAGCTGACTGCAGCTGTTACAATCGCGCGAGGCTCGCAGTTATTGACAGAAATAACCAAAGGTATTTCTGAGAACCAGCACGAAACAGAAGAGCCATGGCAAGGTCCGTATGCCCCCCGCTCCCCCCCACGTTCAGGCTTATATTACCCCATAAATCATAGAGAACTATCTCTGACGCTGAAACAGCCCCAGGTCACGATACCTCTCCTCTCCACCTTGTTGCAGATCTCAATTCGGGTAGCCAAGGCTGCAAGCCGGACAGTAATTATCTCCAAACGATCAGCGACTGTTTAATTCCGCGGAATTACAAGCCAGGTTATGTCTACGCTTATACCGTGGATGCAAATGAAGCATTCATCAAAATTGGCTACACCACCCGCGAGGTCTCCGTCAGGCATGCAGAGTGGGAATTCGAATGCAACCGGAAGATCAAAAGTCTTTACCCTGATCCGGCTGCCACCGGCGTGCCAATTCTTGATCCCCGGCTCATTGAGAGCATCTGCCATGCAGATCTGCGGAAAGGAAGTGTTCGAGTGGACTGCAGCGCTTGTCAAAAAGAACACGTGGAATGGTTCAAGATTTCTGCGCAGAGGGCAATCGATACCATTGAAAAGTGGTCTCAGTGGATGGCTCGGGTGGCCTGTCGGCCCAGCTGGAAGAATGAAGTAAAGGTGAGGGTGCGCGGTACTTCAGACCTTGCAGAAGCATTGCACGCATTGATGCAGCTTTGCCCAGCTACTTGCAAGTAAAAGCAGTTGACAGTCTGCATTGATTATCATTGCTTTTGAGCCAGCTTTGCCGCTTTCTTGGTGTATTCCTTGTGGTTTTGATTTATCTGATGTTGTAAGCTTGGTTCTGTATTTTCTATTCTAGAATAAACACTAGGCCAACCTCTTCAATGATGTGATTAGGGGACCTCTGCTACAGCGGGTCCAATATCTAGCTGTAGAAGAGCCGGCCTTTTTCCTTTTTATGCTTGGCGAGTAAATTCTGTACTATGCTTCTTGCCTTTGCTATCTTCTTCTGTATTTATCTAGAAAGCGCTCTAAAGCCCTACTTGAACTCTCTCCAGAAGTATTTATGTTGCGGAACAGAGCTTTTGTTTCAATTGACGAATATCCTGAGAACAGTCGACTATCCACTCTCTGGAACTTCATTTCCCAGATCTTACCCGGCTCTCAAATTGGTCGTAGTTCAAATTTCGTCCACCACAAGTAAATCGGGACAGGTTACATGGCAGCCGTGGGCGCTTGGTGACCGCTATCTTATTTATACTGTTGTATGTTTTTGTTTTTGATCCTGCATCCACTGCATCTTTGTCTCTTGGCTGTCTTATCTAAAAGGGTTGCCGCGGTTTGCTGCTTGGGTCATCTTCAAGAATCAGCCTGGCTGACCCGCCTGATGCAACTTAACTGATATGGTGTACATTGCCAAAACAATGTCCACTAAGGGTCACTAAGCCACTTAACTGATTCCCTCTTGAGGCCACCGACTGCCCCGAGCACGTAACTGCTTTTTGTGTGCATGTACCTGGTAAGATGCCATAGTACGAGAGCATGACTCTTGGCAAGATGCGAGTTGTTGACCAGTCAGTGGGTAGGACGGCACATTACCACTGACTCAGTTCTCATTACTTAGAAAGTGTATGCCAACCTGCTGGACTGAAGCTATAGCACTGCGGGGTCTTTCTCAATACCATCCCTCCTCAACTCAACTCGGTGCTCGGAACAATTCCCGGCCATGAAAGTGGGACCCCAGGCCCGATCCGAGGCCGAAACGGTAGGAGTTTGCGAATCCCCCCACACCACTGCACGCGAGGCTCACCTTGGCATTTACATGCTGTACAACAACAACAGCAACAACAACACAAGAGAATCGCAATTACAGGGTAAGCTTGATTTGACTGCAAGTCGACTATATCACGCTATCACCGCCGAGCAAGCATGGCATGCGCCCAAGCATGCTGTTTCGTGCAGACCCACTTCGAAGAAGGCGACATGGCATCCGGGCCCCGCCGTCGGTTTGGCCTGCGATGGTCGGTGGGCAGGAAGACTCAGACAGTCACACGCGGACACTGCCGTAACGACCTAACATGCCCAAATCAGATGGTCAGATTAGATTGCCACGATTTATAAGATTGATAATCGATGCTGTATCAAGCAGAAGCACGACAGCTTGCCACTTTCGGACGGCCGAACTTCCGATGCCCGAACTTCCGACGTACGATCCCATCTAGACATAACCAGTGGGAATCCAAGAGAAAAAGGCTCCTAGAACGGACGGCATCCTTTCGATGCGTCGAGAAACTAATACTGCGGAAATTGCCCGATGGCCAGAAGAATCTCGTCTTCGGCTATTACTGCATCGGGTCGGGCGACAAGATGAATGCCAGTCAAGTGAACTTACTCGGCAAGGAAGCGAGGCCAACGATAACCTGTATAGTGGATAAACGTGCGTAGGCAAGTATGGCCCGGTAAGTCTTGGCCTTCTGGTCGAACTACCAGCAAACACAGAAGAAAACTCTGCGCAGGCCAGTACGGTTCCTGTTCACTCATATACAACCGAGACGGAGATTAGTCTTCGGGTGCAGGTCGCGGATTTCCTTGGCCTGGACGGGGGGTCCAAGAAGCACATTTCGCCGTAGATGCTTGAGGTCTTGGCTTTTAGGCCTGTTCAGGAATGAACCGCCGACAAATGCATGCCCAAGGACGCTTGATACAAGGCAAAGTGTCGAGCTCGGAAGAACTGCCGATGATGAAGTGGAGGATCGAGTCCCGTCCGAGCGGAAAGGGTAGGAGCTTGCGAGAACAGAAAAAAAAAAAAAAAAAAGCTGCCAAGAATCCCCACATCCGCATTGAAGCTCATCTTGGCGACCCACTACTACTGCAGGTTGTGCAGACTGCTATCTCCAAACAAGAACAAGAAGCCTATGGGTGGCCATCTCGTGCACATAGCTCGGGCGTCAAGTCGAATCAGGTCTGTTCTCGCAAAGTATGACTCATTCAATTAAGATTATTTGATGACAAGCAGGTAGCCGAGCGAAATTTGACATAGATGAATTTTCTGACAGCAGGAAACAACAAAACACGGAACCAGTCGATCAACCAGAACAACGGACATGATGTCTGGTGCGCCATCGAAGTTGATCTTCACTTTTTTTATTCCTCTCCCCGACCCTACTCTTGCCGCACACCCCTGCCCCTGCTCACTTCATCTCCACCATCTGCTGCTCCACCACAGCCTCCTCATTGAACAGCCCACTGTGCACCTGGCGCACAATATCCTCTCCGTTCTCCTGCAGGGCCGCAAGCTTGGGCTTGGCGTACCACTTGAGACCCGGCACCTTGGCCAACCCGATCAGGATGCGCTCGCGCAGGGACCGCTTTCCCGAGCGCTCCTCCCACAGCATGTAGGCCACGCACAGCATGATGAAGATCCAGTAGACGTTGTAGGAGATGATGGAACCGTACGTGCCGGTGTTCTCCCATCCGAGAATTGCGTTGAAGACGTCCCATCCGTTGTCGGTCTCCGCGTTGCAGCAGTTGACGTGCCAGACCGTCTGGAGGATGTTGTACGAGCCCGCTCCGCTGCCCTCTTCGGCGACGTCGGATCCCACCCCCTTCTGGTACTCGTAGTACTGCAAATCCCAGATCGACTTGGAGAACATTCCCGCTGCAATCAGATACAGCACACAGGTCGAGGCAATAAGGAAGAGCTGGATGGACATCACATTACCACCGCGGTAGATGAGGTAACCACAGGTCAATCCGGCCAGCATGCCGGTGATGACGGGCAAAGGGAAGGCAGTAGCCGGGTAGCCGAGCGAGACACCACCGACGAAAACAACAGCTTCGACACCCTCACGCATAGTAGTGATGAACGGAAGGAGGAACATGGCGTAGCGGCGGGCCCAGTCCCCGAGCCACTTGGACTTTCGATGGTGCTTGCTCTTCTCAACGAGCGCCTTGGCGATCTTAATGCGCCACTGCTCTTTGGTCTTGTTGATGCGTAGCAGAGCCAGACCCATGACGGTTACAATGACGGTTGCGATCAGGTAGAAAATACCTTCCCAGAGATCTTCGGCGTTGGACCAGATATCGTGGCCCAACCCGTAGAAGACACCGATGAACGCGCCACCGATAATCAAGCAGCAGACTATGCCGGTTATCGAGCCCGCCCATACTTGCCGCACCAGCCGTTTGTAGATCCCCTGGTCCTGGTGTGGCTGGCCCAGACTCTGCTTGAGGAAGGCGAGGAGCACCGAAACAATAATTACCGCTTCGAGACACTCGCGGAAAACGATGAAGAAGACCTGGACAGCAAAGACATTGACCATGGTGGGCGACTGCGGGCGAAGAAAGTTCGCACGGGAAGAACTTGAGTCTAGGTTTGGAAACCCTGAGAAACACAGTTGTAAATGCAGGTCTCCGACGGGGACTATATAACGGCTTCGTGGAATGCACACCCTCTGTCGGTTGCCCCTCCCTTGCTTGCTCGCAGCGGCAATTTCTGGCGAGAGTCGGCCCAATTTTTCCCAATTTTTCCCACCCTAGTTCCTCAACCGTATTTCGGAGAGACATCTTATCTGATCATTCGACGCTTTTGCCTCGCAAGGTTGACCCTGTTCCGGCTCGGGGGGATCCACTGCCCAAGACCCGTCAAGCACCGAACCCAATCTTATCATCCCTTGGCCAATCATTCCAAGACCCACCACCATCTGATATGGTCGGGATGGGGGCCAGTTCGTATCGAAAACAAACTTACCATCCACCCACCTTCCTCCATCCTTGTTACCACTAGTTGATGCGCCAAGCGAGCAAGAAAATTCCCGCGGCGTGCGCCCCCGTATAAAGCAAGTACACCGGAACCACCATAGATCGTGTTGCTCTCTTCTCCCAGGAGTCTGTCATCCTCCCTGCCTTCTTTTCCCGCGGTCTTCCCCTTCCCTCTAGTAGAGATGTTACCCTATCTTTGCTATTTGCTGGTGCTGGTGTTCAGCAAGCCTCTGCTGGCCAAAGAAGTTGTCTACGACTTCAACGTCACCTGGGTGACAGCCAATCCCGATGGACTGGCTGATCGAAAGGTGGTGGGTATCAACGGGCAGTGGCCCCTGCCTGTCATCGAGGTCGATAAGGGCGATCAACTCGTCGTGAATATGTACAACGGACTCGGTGACAAGAGCACCAGCATTCACTTCCATGGAATGTACCAGAACGGCACCAATGATATGGACGGGCCCTCGATGGTCACCCAGTGTCCTGTCGCCCCCGGGTCCAGCATCACCTACAACTTCACCGTCAACCAGAACGGGACATACTGGTACCACTGCCACACCGATTACTGCTACCCCGATGGGTATCGCCAGGCGTTGATCATCCACGATAACAACTCCTACTTCGCCGATGAGTACGACGAGGAGTTCACGGTGACCTTGAGCGACTGGTACCATGAGCTGGCCGAGGACATCAAGCCCAAGTTCATGTCGCTGTACAACCCGACCGGCGCCGAGCCCATCCCGAACTCCTGGCTCTTCAACGATACCCAGGATCTGAGCCTGTCCGTGAAGCCCAACACAACATATCTGCTCCGACTGGTCAATCTTGCAGCCTTCACCGCCCAGTATTTCTACATTGAGGACCATACCTTCAAGATTGTGGAGATCGATGGTGTCTACACCGAGCCCACGGAAGCGGACATGCTCTACCTGGGCGTGGGACAGCGATACAGCGTGCTGCTCACCACCAAGGACACGGCCACCAAGAACTACGCCATCGTCACGGTGGTGGATTCCACGCTGCTGGACACCATCACGCCGGACCTGCAGCTCAACAGCACCAATTGGCTCGAATACGACTCCTCCGCCACACACCCGCAAGCCAACATCACAGTCGCCGAGTCGTCGGACCTCAACCCCTTTGACGACGCGACGCTCGTGCCCTACGACCACATGGCGCTGCTGGAGAACCCGACCGTCTCGATCAACGTGGCGGTGGTCATGGACAACCTCAACAACGGCGAGGGCTACGCCTTCCTCAACGAGATCAGCTACACCGCCCCCAAAGTCCCGACGCTGTACACCGTCATGTCCGCGGGCGAGCTGGCCACCGACCCCACCGTCTACGGCGACTACACGCACACCTACGTGCTGGACCACAACGACATCGTCGAGATCATCCTGAACAACAACGACACGGGCTCGCACCCCTTCCACCTGCACGGCCACAACTTCCAGGTCATCGACCGGTACCCGTCCTACGGCCCGGACTTCTTCGAGTTCGCCGACGCCGGCATCCCGCAGCCGTTCGACGCCAGCAACCACTCCGCCTACCCGGCTTACCCGCCCCGCCGCGACGTCGTCGTCGTCCCGCCCGAGGGCTACGTCGTGCTGCGCTTCCGCGCCGACAACCCCGGCGTCTGGTTCTTCCACTGCCACATCGACTGGCATCTGATGCAGGGCCTGGCCATGACCTTCGTCGAGGCGCCCCTCCTCCTCCAGGAGAGGCTGACCATCCCCGAGGACCATTACGCCGCCTGCAACGCCTCGGGGGTTCCCTATGTGGGCAACGCGGCCGCCAACACGGAGGATTACCTCGATCTCAAGGGCCAGAACAAGCAGCCGGGTTGGATTCCGGACGGCTTCACCACGCGTGGTATCGTCTCCATGGTGTTCACGGTGTTGAGCGCTTTCCTGGGCATGGGGTCGATCGCGCTCTACGGGTTGTCGGACCTCAAGTTTGTGAAGAAGCCCGAGGCCCAGGCGGACGGGAGTGGGCAGGCTGGGCAGGGGGATGAGTATCGGGATTAGAGGACGTGGATTTTCACTATATGTGGTTAATATGTGCTTTAAAATTGTGCAGTGTTGATATATTTAATGGTATGACTTTGTTTACTGTGTGATCAGTCGTGTGGTCCTGAATTGGGTTGAGGATGGTGTCTTGTATTCGAGTTGTAAATATAGTGTTGAAGCGCTCCTTCTGACACCTTTCTTATCTGATCGCAATATTTCCGGTCGGACATCGGTTCCCTTCGCTGGTCGGGGATCTGAGTGGGCGGGCTGATCACCCACGATCACCTCCCTGGGAGGGGCGGGAGCATCACATGGAAATTAAAAAGTGAGGGGGGGGTTTCGTTACAAACCCACGAGCTACTAAGTACTCCGTAGATGACGAACAATTCCAGGTGATCGTACAGTGGTGGGAACTTCTCCAGGCTTGTTGACATTATTGCTGAGTACTACCTACATGCGAGTGATCATTGCTGCCCAAGGCCCCCAAGAAAGTGGGTGGCAGTAAGTCTGGCATGGGAAGGCGGTAAGTAAAAAACCAGTTTCAAAGTGTCTGTCTTCCTTCTGATTCTTGCGACGCCGGGGCTGTACTGTATGTCCCCGGGCGAGTGTCGCCAGCTCCCGCGGTGCGCTCTGGCTGTTGTACTGTACTATCTTTCTGCTACAGCTAGGAGGATATCAATACTCATTTCAGCATCATGTTGATATACTTGTGTGCGCTTAGTTACTTACTCGTTCCGTATATGTTTGGAAATTGTCTTTTGGCTTGTTTTTTGCTGTTGACCTGTCAGTTCGTAGTGTGCTTGATCAATATAGTATCTTTTTGGGATAGAGACCCATGACGACACGGATTCTACAACAACTTCGGGTTTGGGGCAGCCATTCGTGATAATACCACCATCTCATCACCACAATTATGTAGGGGTAGATTAAGAGCACCGAGTGCAGGGACAGTGAAGAGAGGCTTGGTGTGAAGACCCCCGGTGGTCGGGACTGCGCCGCCAGCCTCATCGACATTATAGGCCTCAGGCAGCACGGCAGTAAATCTATCTTAGGGAGGCGGTGAAATGCCTTCCAGTTTCCGGTGGGGCAGGAAATTCTTCCGCGCGATTCGTTCCTTTTCATTCGTGCGCAACCCGGCGACGGTGCCCTCCTCTAACTTTTGCTTTTGGTCTATGCCAAGTTAGCGACAGTACAGACATATATCCTTCTGCGCTCAGTCACTTCCCAGCGTTGATTAAAATTACACTCCACGTCCTCGCACCTCGGTAGGCAATTGCTATAGTAGCCTGCTAGGATCTACCACTGTATAGAAGCGCAGGTGCGGCGGTGCCGACAGGCCAACCGTGCAGAAGCTGACACCGCCACGGGTTGATCTCAGCCACTGTGGCGGTGGGTGAGCGGACCAATGGGCGGCCAGTGCATCACCGCCATTCTGACTTGGCCCTCAGGCAGGAAGCTAGAAGAGGGGTTCGCAAGGCGACTCGGGACGAAATTCTTCCTTCTAGTCCCTGTCTAGCGCTCTTAGCCCTCCCTAGTCCGGTCGCATCACTTCCCAGCTTTTCCATCATGGAACAGGGAATTTCTCAGCATCGAGAAAGCAGTAACAGTGGAGTTGAGTTGAGTAGAGAAGCAGGTTGTTCAGGATATTCAGGATACACTTATTGAATCCATTGATCTCACCCATCGGCCACAATCCATCCACCATGTCCAGACGTCAGCACACTTTGAATAGTCTAGTACAACGTGGTACTTCGACCAGACAGCAAACTCCTCTCCACGTCAGGTACCGGTACAATTAACCTCGGATGGAGCCACAGCACTGACACTCCGGATGACATGGCCCTGATTTTCTCCATCCACACACACGTCAGTCAACCTTAGGCAGTGACAACACTGACAACACTCCCCTCCCCAGCGATCCATGCAGCCACTCAAGCCTATTTTGCAGCCCGCCTGCTGCCTTGCTCTTGGCTTCATCGACACCCAACCGCCGGGTGGAGGGATGCGGTGATCGCTGCTCCCGTTCGTTGCTTTATGCCCATCCCCTAGGCGCCGCCTGGGGTCATTGCGTCCTATGATTTTAAATTCCGTCCCAGCCCCCTCGGATTCACTTTTCTGTAATCCTGTTCAATTCTCCTATATGGTTGCCTTGAGTATCTCTGCTTTGCTCTGCCTATCGGTCCCTATCGGTCGCGAAATAACTCCTTTGGGTGGCGTGGATTTCCCGTTTGCTCCGTACTACCTCCTAGCGCCTTAGACTGCATTTCGATCCCGCCGCTTGCCGCCGCTTATCGGGTTTGCGAGGGCTTTGCCGTTCGCTCGTGATCATCGTCCCATCCCCTCACCAGCTGTGCTGTATCATTTCAGCTGTCTTTGTTGATATTTTGCCATCGGAGGTATACCTCGCCATTCACTACTACCTAGCAACTATTCCGGCTATCATATAACCAAACCGACACCACTCCACCTCACCCTAACGGTTAACCCAACTCAGTGCCCTCAGTGATACCCACAATCCAAGCCAAGATCGGGGCCAAAGAAATCCCAACCCCACTGAGGATCCCAACTATCAAGACACTATCAACTAGTCTTGCGCTACACCGCTCGTCTGACGTCCATTCCCCCGCCCCTTTTTGCCGGAATTTCCCCCCATCCTTAAAAGTTGAAGATTTGGACCAGAATTGAATGTCGAACTGGAAGTTGCTTCTTCATCGACTTAATCCAGTCGTACTGGAAACCCATTCGACTTGACATAAAAGTCCCGGAGTTGAAGCACCCTCCCAACCATGGCGCCGTTGGGCGAGACCATCGCGGTGATTGATAAGTCCGGGAAGGTGGTTAGCACGGTACGTCTGCGCTTGCTTCTCCACAATCAGTCGCGATAAGGGACTGACCTCTTTCCCTGCGGGGTCACAGAGTAAACACCTCTTCGGGGTATTCAGCCAAGCCAAGAATGCCTATCGGGAACGCAAAGCCCAAGTGCAGTCCGAGCGGAACGCCAAGATCGCGGAGAGGGAAGCCCTGAAGGCGTTACAGAACTACCACATTGACGGGGGTGACCAACATTATCAGTACGACGCGGCGCCGTCCGTTGCATCATCGCGACGGAGTCATTCGCGACACTACTCGGGCCGCAGTCGCAGCCATCAGCGAAGTCGCAGCCATCACCCTCGCGGGGGGTCCCTGTACGAGGAAGACTACGAAGCCGACGACTACTACAACCAGCCCCGAGAAATGGTGCGACGACACACACACCACGATGTGGGCGTGCGGGAGATGGAACGGCCGGTTCCGGTCCGCTCCCGGTCCGACCACCCCTCCCATGTGGATATGGATCTGGCCTACGGCGAGTTTCACCCTTCCGCACTGGAACAGCAGCAGCAGCAGCCCCGCCAGGGCGAGCTGGTCCCACACCAACATGGCCAACTCCAACGCATCGAGGACCCCGAATTGAACGGTCTCGTCACCCGCGCGCAGTGGCTCCTCGAGGAAGCCGACTGCATGCAGCACACGGCCACTGCGACCATCGCCCACCTGCAGAAGAACCCGGACTCCATGGCGGCTGTCGCGCTCACGCTGGCTGAGATCAGCAATCTGGTCACCAAGCTGGCCCCCTCGGCGCTTGGGGCGCTCAAAGCCGCCGCACCCGGCGTGTTCGCGCTCCTCGCGAGCCCGCAGTTCCTCATCGCGGCCGGGGTGGGGCTGGGAGTGACGATCGTCATGTTCGGCGGCTACAAGATCATCAAGCAAATCCAATCAGCATCGAAAACCCCGGTGATCGAAGCAGCCCCACAGCAACCACCATACCCACAGCAATCCCCCCGAGACGGGGCAATGGACGACCCCAGCATGGAGGACATGATGGAGCTCAACACGGACTGCCTGAGCAGCGTCGAGATGTGGCGCCGCGGGGTGGCCGACGCCGAGGCCGAGAGCGCCGGCACGTCGGTGGATGGCGAGTTCATCACCCCGACCGCCGCCATGATGTCGGGCATTGATGTCACGACGGCGCGGATGACGCGTGACCCGCGCTTCAAGTTCGATGACGACGAGGAGCGCTCGATGGCCTCCTCGCGGCGGTCGCGGCGGTCGCGGTCGCACCACCACGGCGGCAGTAGCGGCAGATCGCGCGCCGATCACGGGCCCCCGGAGTCGTATGTCGGCTCTAAAACGCCTTCGTCGCATCACACCTCGTCTAAACCGGAGGCCAAAAAGTCCAAGGAGAAGACGAAGCGGTCCAGTCGCTTGAGGCTGATGTTCACGACCTGATGCGAGGGGACTGTCTGTGCCTGTGCACGGCCTATGATTTTACGATACTACTAAACGACAGACCGCACCCGGGTTGAAAATGATGTATAAAGTGTTGATGATTCTTTCGTTCCTTTTCTTTCTTCTTAGCTTGCAAGGCATGGCTCTGTGAGATTATGTCGGGCATAGGTTGATTGTGTGATGTCACATTGAGACGTCATGACGGGGCGTTTATTGTATTCGGAACCAAGTCAGTGTTCGCATTATATTCTTGTATCCCACTAGAAAGAGTGGACTACAATTATTCTCAATCGGGTCTCTAAGCGGTGGTTGCGCTTCGGGAGGTTTTTTATTTCATGCATCTTTATCATATACACTGGCGTTCAGGGGCAGTTACCATCTTCTATTACAGCAAAACTCACTTTCTTCCGGTCGGACTTTTCAATCTGTACATACAACTCAGAAGCTTGTTTTTTCTTTTTCTTTTTCTTTTTCTTTTTCTTTTTCTCATTGATTTTCTACAGACAGTACAGCTGTCCGTCTTTCGTCGTTCCCTACCATCATGATATCTATTGAGCAATTTGAGATACCTACGATTCTATTTTTTCCCCTAAGGACCAGGATGGACTACAGAAACTGGTGATCGATAATTCCAGGGCCCGTTGCATGGCGGGTTGAGAAGTGCCGACCCTTGCAAGCAATTTGAGTCGCCTTCGAACAAAGTGGCCTTTCAATTCACAACCCTGCATGCATGTATGCATGTTGAACACCGAGAGAGGTCGAGTGCAGCAAAGAGTGGGAAGAAAAAAAAAGACATACAACAGAAGGGATTCGCTGGTGAGCACCCACCCAACTACTAACCTCCCGGCGTGTGGCTTGAACGCGGCCAGAAGGTGGGTGGGTGCCGTGCGGGTGCCGTGCGGGTGAGTAGCGGGAGAGGCCGCTCTACGGTCGGGCGACCGGAAGTGAGATCCTTGAAGCAGTTCAGTTTGGGCAATCTCATTCTCACCTCGGCTCACCTTCAACTACTATTCTCTCCAGAGAAACAACTTGAAAGCTAATGCTTCTAGCATGACACCAGAGCAAGAACAGGAAGCACAGCCCATACCTGAGATTAAAACCATGGTGGTCCCGAGAACCGTGGCCTCTTTGGTTGAAGCAACAGTTTTAAAAGCGCGTTTTGCCTCTCTGGGAAGACAGTAGACATACCGTGCCTTGACACCGGCGTACCGTTTGTCTATCATTTTCCATCCCACTCGGTCATAATGACCAGAAAGTCCAGCGTCCAGTCGAAAGTTTTCAGCGTGACCAAGTCATTGCGACAGAAAAGAGATCGACGCAAAATGTCCCTAGGAACAAAGTCGCACGAGTACAGCAATGATTGCAGCGCAGATGTATGCCTAGGCACTCGAATTCGAGAGTCAGGGAAAGCTAGTATTCGTTTTTTTTCCCCCGCGGACACCTCAGGATTGGAATATGGAATGTGAGAATGCTATGATTCAAATCGCTCAAATAAAATCTAACCTCCAGATGTAACTCGCTGATGTTACTAAGACACAAACGCTGAAATGTCTAATACCCAATCTCTTGAAACCGACCACTCCGAGTCATCGGGGGTTTTGCTATTGTATTTTTAAGCATTCGTCATCTCAATTTCTGTTGACGCCTGTGACACCTTAGACGAAACGACTCCACGACGCGCTTTCGCCGAGAATTCCCCCCATCGCCGGCCCATGGCAACTGCTGGGTGAGCGGCGGTCATACAAATGCACGCAATGGCAATCATAGTGCTCTCAAGGATCATCAGGGCAATTTCATCATTAGCCAAATCACTGCTAAATCCACCTTTCAGCTCCGCAACACGGAAGATCGAGCGAGTGAAGATCGTTGAAACGGCAATGGCAAGACCTTTGCTTGGGTTAGCATACGCTGATCAATGCGGACTGTTTAGTGACACTTGCCCAGAAGGAACATCTGCCATTTCAAACCATTGCGAACAGATGACGTAGACGCATTCTTCATGTCTTCTGAGCTGCGGCGCACTCGCAGGGCGAATTCCGAAGCGAGCACGATGAACAGCATCAACGAGGCGACCTGGAAAGCCAATCCTGTAATCATGATATTGACACCGGTATCGCTGAGGCTTTTTTGGTCTGAGTCGGCGATGGAGGTAATGGCGCCGCCGGCTGCTTGTAGGACTAGAGCGATGATATCGCAAGTGACGAAGAGGATGGTGTATGTACGCGGGCGAATCCTGGAGATCCCCTCCCCGTAGACGATGACAATTCTTCCCAGGCAGATGTAAATGGCGGCGGTGAAGAAGGCCGGGGCAATCGTGAGACAAATGAGGTATCTAAAAGTCAAGTTGCTGATTAGCTTGCTTTATTCAGAGGTATGTCTCAAAGGTCACGTACAGGAGGAATGCGTTAAAGTCGAATGGGTTGCTGTGCATCATGACTCGCCCGATGTATCCCAGGATTTCAAGAATGAGCCCCGCGGTCATTGCCCCCATGTATGTCCATGTTCGGAACCATGTTCCTAGGGCAATTTGTGCGGCGAGGAGAAGGCCGAAGATGACGAGGAAGAGGACATTTGCCGGGATGTTAGGCTGGTAATTGATATAGGCCAAGTCAATTGGGCAAGTTGCCAGGGTGCAGTCGTCCATTTTCATTTCCGACATTTTCAGTGTTGGTACTTCTACTCCTTTTGTCTCTTTTTTCTGCTTGGTCTCTTGGGAGATAGTGAGGAGGAGAAGAGGTAGAATACGAGTCTAGATGGGTCGAGGTTGATATTCCCCTTCTCATAGCATCGAATTCACACACTCTTTATACAACCTGACGAAAACAAGGAGGCCTGAAAATCAGCCACGAGGCTATGCTAGCCCCGATCCTACGTAGGACTATCATTGGCGCGAGTATACTTTCCAGGGCTGACAATGGGCCGTGCCAAGACACGGAGTCCAGGCCAACTCCGAGTCCGCGGACTAGGAGGGGAATTGCTGGGGGCCGGTCCGCGGACTCTTAAGCCCTCCTGTTCCTGTCCGGCCTCCATTTTAGCTTTATTTCTTCAAATGCTGCCTACTATGTCCGCGCTGACCAGTCTAGGCCGAGTCAGGACCTGCGAGAACTGTGTGCGTGCTAAAATTAGGTGCTCGCGCACCTCTACCCTAAGCTGCGATCGGTGTGTAACATCACGCTTCTACTTCTACTTCTCTTCTCTTCGTCTTAGCAACGTAAACCTAACACGCTTTGAAGGTGTCTTCGTCTGAACAAAGATTGTTATTTCCGCCCAACAAAAGCTCGTACTCCTAAGAGGAGGGAGACGTATATCTGCCCACGCCTCGTATCGATACGATCTGCCAAACTGACCGCATCTAATCTAGGCGAATAGGTGCACTCGAGGACAAGGTGAATCAAATATTAGGCCAGATCAATCAGCCTCGCTCAAGCCCGCAACAGGCACCACTGCCACTGCCACTGTCACCGAAAAGCGAAAGTTGTGCTCCGACTCCTCGAAATCCGTGCGATGTGATCGGGAACGGGCTGATCACTCACGAAGAGGCAAATCGGTTGATAGAGAGCTTTCGTGATGCCATAACGTATTTCCCATTTGTGCAGCTGCCGAGAAACGCCGCGGTCGAGGATTTCAGATCGGAGAAACCCTTCCTCTTACTCTCTATTCTTTTGGTCTCCTCATTTCGAAATGTCCCGCTGCACCTGGCCCTCGAGGAGGTTTCGACGTCTTACCTTGGGGGACAAGTCTTGCAAGGCGATCGCCAACAACCCTTCGATATCCTGCAGGGATTGCTGGTTACTATAGCTGGGTATATTCTAGACAATGTCTCTCTTCATTAGCCCACGAAAGCTAACACGGAAGATAGAACGAAGAAAAAACTCCATTTAATGCGGTTTTCTGGATATATGCACCTCGCACAAAGTATAATCAACGATTGCAGACTGGATTACCCAGCCAAGCTGCGAGGAGTAAGACATAGAATTGACGTCATGTTGGACACGGATCCTCCGACAGAATCGATTTCCCTGCGAAACGAGGAAATGCGAGCTTTGGTTGGATACTTTCTCCTTGACGCGTGGTAAGTTCGATTTACCACCTGGACAGCCCGGTCTAGACCTGAAAAGACTTTGTCTTGCTTACTTTCTTTTCACATGACTAGTCACTCCTTAGTACTGCAGCGGACAGGAACAATGCTTTGGTCACCCTTCATAGAATCATGCGCTGCGAAGTTGTCGCAGGAATGCGAATTTTCAACCGATCGATACCTGTTAGGCCAGGTTCAAGTACAACACATGCTTGTACGAATTGATTCCTTAGTTGCACGGGGATTCGGTGAGAATCAGGCTCCTGCGGATATAGAGGTTGTGATTGGCTCTCTTCAAAGCGATTTTGAAGATTTCAAAGCCCGGCTTCCTGTCCCTGTTGACCATGATGGTGAGTTGACCAAGCCTTATCTGTACAGCAGATCTAAATTCTAACACTTGATTAGTATTTCCAGGCATTCCGTCCCACACCTTCGAAATTCATTTGTATCAAACTATCTTTTTCGATGTATACCCATCTTCCGCCGCGTCATTCGACCAATCCATGGCCCTCCTGCGAATCGATGCCCTTTGCCACGGACTAGCGGCTGCAAAACAATTTATGACCTTTTACTTCAGTCTACCACCCGGTATTGAAAAGAGATTTAGCTACACCCAATGGATAATGACCGGGTTCAGCATTGCAGCTTCATGCAAACTTGTTCTCGCATCGTTGGAGCCATCCGTTCGAGATCACGATCAAGTCCGAGGGTTGCGAGAGACATTGGATATGCGGCATGAAATCCAGAAATCTGTCAAGCGCATGAATACGCTTGAGCAGGAGTGTAAAGGTGGGAAGCGGGATCAACATGAGATGTTCTTCTACCAAGATTGGCTGCGGTTCCTTTCTGAATGGTTTGCAGAGAAATATCGTCTTGCGCAGTCTGATAGTGCTGGAGAGAATAATGGTGCACCGGGAGTCTTCACCACTGGAATCTTAGAAAATATCTATGAAGAGCCTCAGCCTGATCCTGGTTTTCCGTGGGTGGATCTTCAGGACGTTACGATTGAGGAGCTATTGAATGTGTGGTTGGAGCCAATGAACATGCCACACTACTATTAAAACGTACAAATCAGCCTTGATAGTTTCAGTGACGAATCATATCCCTTCCTGCTCTCTTTTATTTGAATTGCCATCTTATACTAGTAGTTCAAAACAAGTACTCAAATTGAACACGGCCTGTTAGGCGGTGGATCCAACCAACCCCGCAGACTAAAGACCAGATAGAAGCTCGGATTACATCAGTACTTGTACTTACTTTGATAGGGTGCTTATTATCCAACACGAGTACAGAGAACTGAGAAGACTATGAACGGAAAAGAGCCTGAGTAGGGACAAAAGATACGTTTTATGTACTATTTATGAAATGGAGCATAAATAGCATGAAGAGCTTAAGCAAGCTAGCAACAACTAAAATTCGGAGCTTGTGTCTACATAGCGGCTGCTCGCGGCTCCGTATCTTGCGAACAGGACCGCATGGAATGGGCACGCCCCACTGTTCCGTTTCAGCTCAAGCATGTGTGCCCATACTCACGGTCTGCTCAAACGCCCTCTAGTCGCAGGACATTCCTGGCCATGGACACTCGCCAGTTGAGCTGGAGCCACTATGGACGTCAATCATCGGACTGCCATCACATTTGACGTTACAGCAAGCTCCAACGCCCAGTCCCCACGAGCCCCCCCCCCTCCCCATCATCCCTGGCAGCTGAGCCAGAAAACTGTTCGGCGTTTTTTCGGTACATGCGACATAAAGGCATGTATTCACGTATCCAGAGATAATCGTATTTGACTTCAACTGTAATGTTGGGACGAAATCTAATGGTATTCGAACAAGCGGTTTGTCCCCATAGTATTCTATCCACTGATCTCTGACCTGCGAGGTACATCACTTTAATTATACCGTTATCAGACTACCGAAAGTGCGCCCAAAAATACTTGTGTAGGTCGATGAGAAGTTTTTAGGACACAAAGAATGTCTTTAGAGCCAGGTCTAGACGTTAAGTTGAATGTTAAACACTAAAGATAGAGGTACAACATGAGAGGTTTGTTCACTGGCTGTTGAATCAGAAAGAGTGCTGTTTTATGCGGACTTTATTATAGCTGATATCTATCTTGGAAGCTATAAGCTGAGCAGTGCTGGAAGATGAAAAAGATAACTAATGTTTAGCTGATAAATATCATACTAGATACTGCTGCAATCTGGAGTAGTTATATAATTATACTATAGTATTATCGGTGCTGGGGACTATCTTTCTAAATGATTATCTATAAAATAGATTAAGTTATTAGAAACTAAATAAATAGATAGCAGAGGAAACAGCTATTACAGTAATAAGACGTACAGCAGCTCCAAGAATACAAATATGACTATTATCATAGGTGGTAAAGATTATATAGAAATTAAGAGTAATTCTACTGGTTTATTGGAGATACTAATAGTATAAAAGTATATTTTACAATCTGGACCAGCGCACCTACAACCAACTACTACCTTAACCACATTTAGCCATTATACAGCAGTAAAAGTGAAGTTAGAGACAAAAACATACAACAGAAGGGATTCGCTGGTGGTCACCCACCCAACTACTAACCTCCCGGCGTGTGGCTTGAGTACGGCTGAGCGGACGGGAAGCCCTATTTTCCACACCCTGTGGTCGTATGTGCTAATTGTTATTGAATCTCGGACTATGTAGCATATTGTCTGAGTCAAAATGCCATGTATCCGCTCTCGTACGATTGTAATGATAGTGTTGTTTATTCCGAAATGACTCGATAGATACCTGTAATGGTTCCGTTCAGGTTGAAGCCACGGCTGTCTACAGTTAGTAGTCATGAAACGGACCACCTCCCTCTCGCTGAATCATGCTTTGTGGCTTGCAACTCCATCGGTGTAAGGATCACAATTAACGTGTAGTACGTCGTTGATTCTCCCCCGCGGTTCAACAAAAAAAAAGGTCTTGATTCTATAAATTTATCTAGAAATACACCTGACCCGAGATCTCACGTTCGAGCCCTACGTACAGTACATGCAATCCACTAAGCCCGACACAACCGCCCATCCGCGGACTCAGTCCAGGCGTCCGCACCGACGGCGGTGCGCGCGTAGAACAAGCCGTAGGGGTCGTACTTGTCCTTGACCTGCAGCAGACGGTCATAGTTGACGCCGTAGAAGGCCTTTTGCCAGTCAGGCTGCTGGAAGTTACCCTCGTTCATGTAGGCGCCGGAGTTGGGGGCCAGGGCCTGCAGGCGCGGGATGTAGTCCTTGGTCATCTTGTCCTGCTCCTCGATCATGGCGGCGCGCGCGTCCCACTCCCAGGGGGTGGTCAGGGTGGTGTCGATCAGGGCCTCGCGCCAGGCGGGCAGGACCGCGTTGTCAACGTCGCCGGCCACGCTGCGGTTGACGTTCAGCCCGACCCCGATGAAGGTCGCCCCGTCCTCGACGATGGCGCGGTAAGCCTCGGTCAGTGCGGTTGTGTTGTGCACGACCACGTCGCGCGGGATCAGCCACCCGCCGTACTGCGCCTTGCCCACCGCGATCTCCGCTTCCATCGTGTTGAACTGCTCCAGGTAGGTGTCGAACTCCTTCGCGGTCAGGGTGTACTGGATTCCCAGGTTGGTGAGGCCGGCTTCGAAGGGTTCGACCAGTGCCCGGAGCGTGGCGACGGGGACGCCCGGTCCCGTCAGCGGGGAGATGTAGAAGGTCGTGTTGGTGAAGTACCAGATGCTCATGACGCCGGCGTCGACGATGCTGGGCAGCAGCGTGTGGTAGAGGGTCACCGCCTCGAAGAAGGTGTCCTGGGAGATCCCCTCGTTGGTGAAGGTCAGGTTCAGGCCCGAGGTTGGGGTCGAGGCGTGCAGCTTGGAGGTCATGGCCACCACTACGCCGTACGTGCCACCGCCGCCGCCGCTCAGCGCCCAGTACAGGTCCTCGTACTCGTTGTCGCGCGTGGCCGTCACGAACTCCCCGGCGCCCGTGACCACCTCCCAGGCCAGCACCTGGTCCGCCGCCATGCCGTACTTGGAGGACAGCGCCGAGTGGCCGCCACCCTGTGAGTAGCCGCCCGCGATGCCCACGGACGAGCACTCGCCGCCCACGACCTGGTAGCCGTGCTCATCGGCAAACTCGTACGCCTCGAAGCCCTGGACACCCGACCCCAGCCGCACAGCCGGTCCGGTGTAGTGGGTCGAGTTGTAGTCCACCAGCGTCCGCGACTTCAGGTTGTGCGTCCACACGCCCAGCCCGCCGGCACCGGTGGACTTGCCGTTGTAGTCGTGGCCCGTGTTGCGGATCACCAGGCGGATGTTGTGCTCGTGGGCGAACTTCAACGTGGCCGAGATATGGGCCGGCGTCGAGACGTTCACCGCGTAGTCGATGTAGTTGCCCATCGTGCACGGCTTGGAGACCGGGTGGAACGGGTCGCAGGTGCCGTTGGTGAACCATGGGGCCATGATCGAGCTGCTGGATTGGTAACTGTGGGTCGCGTCGCACGGATCAGTAAGGGGGAGCCGATGAGGAACGTAAGGGGGCGAACTCAAAGTGGCAGTGAACTTACTGGAGCTCAGGCTCCGTCCATTCCTCCTTGAGCACGTCGCACACGGCGGCATCGTAGTTGGGCGCGTGGCAGGGCTTGCCCAGGGGGACGGTCTTGATCAGACGGCCGTCCACCGTCTGGTTCAACTTGGCCCATTCACTGGTGGAAGGCCAGCAAGCATCGCCAGGGAAGCAGCGGCAGCTGGTGGAATTGCTGGTGCTCCTGGGACTGCGGGGGCTCGCCGTAGCGGCGGCCGTGAGGGCCAGCAAGCTGGTCCAGAAAGTGGCGGAGGGCATGACGATTGGTAGATGACCTGGCTCTGTTTGGAGACGATCTTCCAGTGAGCGACAGGGGGGGAGGACAAGGCCAATTTATATGCCGATATTCCCGAGGCTTGGCTGTCGAACATGACACCAAGTGGGACACCCCCTTACCTGTTCCTACATCTACTCCGATAGTAACTCATGCAGCAGATTGGGTATGCTTGAGCTAGGGCTAGGAGTATGATTGCTATCAGGCCATTGCCTTCTTGTCAATTTTTGTTCATCGTCGGAAAACTCGGCTGGTTGCCTAGACTATCCCAACTATCCTTGTTAAAGCCAAACATTTAATCTACATTCAATCTCGAACCATCTCGCTTAAGCTGTTAGTCTCCACGTTTATTGACCGACTGGACAGTGCCCCCGCTGCAGCGATGCGCGGTCCGGTTCCCCCGTGCTGGTGCCCCACAACGGCGCACGTTAGTCGCGGCGTTAGTACTGCCTTAGTCTCACTCGAATGCACGATGGCGTAAATCGCCTCGGAAATAGTGCGCTGCCAATGCAGCCGATGTCTTGGATTTGACTTCGTGCATATTAATTGATTCCCTAGACAGGGAGGGGGGAGTCCGATTGTGCCGATTGCTAGGCTGAAGAAACCGAGAAATCTTCAAGCAACATGAACACAAGGAAAAAAAGAGAAGGAAAAAAAAATTAAGGTGATTGTTCCCCCGGCTTCGGGTCTTCCCACCTTGCATGATGTTTCTCTGGTGAGATCGATGTGCATCGCATTATCTACAAGATCCTGGTCGTTGAGTTCTTCACCATCCCTGTCTGCCCCATTAACAGGAATGCCATGCCCTGGGTCCATAACCTCGCCCACCCGGATCCCCACAGCCACGTTGCCCGGGTCATCGCGATCTGCTTGACCTTCAGCATCAGTGCCCTGCTGGCCGTGCTGCTACGGCTTCACATCCGGTTGCACACCAAACGCGACCTCTGGCTCGATGACTATGCGGCGATTTGTAGTGCGTTGTTGGGGTTAGGCTATGCCGGGGTTGCGGTGGCTCGTACGTTTTTCTTCTTCACCCGGATGTAAACCTTGCTTGATGAGGACTGACAGTCAAGTTCACTGCTTAGAGACACGGTATGGTCTTGGACTGGACGCGGCATCTTTTCCGGATGCCAATGTTGTGATGTTCAGTAAGGTTTGTACTTTCTTCCTGCCGTGACCAGGTGGCAATTCGTGACAGTGACAGACTGACTGACTCAGATCCAATACGCTGGCGGTCCATTATACATCCTTGCGCTCCTCTTCTTCAAAGTCTCGCTCTTGACCTCCTACCTCCGGATTGGAGGGTTTGTGGCCGCATACCGATGGGTCATCATCGCCGTCACCGGCGCGGTGGCATGCAACCAGCTGGCTTTTACACTCCTCTTGACTCTGGCCTGTCAGCCGGTCAGTGCCACACCAAAAACCTTCCTATCCGTCTGGTAGTCCTCCTCTGACAAGGGATTAGGTCGCAAAGCAATGGGACTCGAGTATTCCTGGAACATGCATTGACACGGTAGCTTCATACTACGGTAGGCAAGACCCATAACTTTAACACAATGAGGATTAGGAAACTGACAGAAACAACAGCCTTGGCCGGTACAGAACTTCCCGCTCCCCCTCCCCAGAACATAGTCCATAACCAGCTCCCTATCCTACAGGAACAAGCCTCGGCTTCGATATCGTGATCATCGCTCTCCCCCTCCCTGTCCTCTGGACCTTACAACTCCGCCATACACAGAAGGTTCATGAGTTCCCCGTCCCACAAGCAACCCTGTCGGTCGCATGACGCTGACTCTCCGATCAAAACACCAGGTAGCCCTAATCGGTATCTTCGCCCTCGGCTTCTTCATCACCATCATCCAAATCATCCGCATCTTCACCATCAAGAACCTCAAGACCTACACGGACAGCCAGCCGATTGTCCTGTGGTCAGACGTGGAGATCAGTCTGGGAGTATGCTCGCCCGAACCCGGTTCCTACCATGCCCTGCCTAGTACCTACCGGAACCTACACCCCCCTACGTTTCATCCCCCAGAAATGGTACTAGTGACTAACGGAACGACCAGGTAATCATCGCCTGCATCCCAACCTACGGCCCCTACTTCCACGCCTTCGCCTCCACCCTCTCCTCCAGCTACCGGACCCGCCGCCGCAAGCGCACCGCGGGCGTCTCGGGCAGCCAGACGCTGAACAACCATTCCCGCTCGTACGGGCTGATGAGCGGGGTCCGCCGCACGCAGCGCAACCAGAGCCGCATGCTGCCCTCCGAGACGGACGACCAGGCCGGGGAGTTCCTGGAGCTGGGCCATCGTAACCACCACCCTCAGGACTATCAGGGGAGGCCGTGGGATAACGCGGTGATGGTGACGACGACGATCGAGCACAGTAGCGGGGACAGTAGTTCGCTGGAGAGTAACGAGAGAAGAGCAAGCGGGGGGCGACATGGTGACGGACCCGCTGCTCCTCACGCGGCAGCAGTGATGGCGTCCTCCCCGCCTAAGGGCCGGATTGGGGAGCAGCAGGGGGAAATCCCCGGCTGCGAGGAGGGAGGATGTCAGCTGCAGATCCAGAAGGTGATGGAGGTGGAGGTGCGGGTGGAGTGAATCGTCCCTGTAAAGTACTTAGTCACGTTCTCGAATCTCTTTTGTTTTACATTTCCTACATAAATTGAAACTGTACTACCCGACTCATGCATTGTTCAGGCCACAATTATTTTTTGGAGCATTGTCTCTCTTGGAAGCGATTCTACGCTGTTGTCAATGTAACCAGGAGATTCTTTTCTAGAATATGCGACATTAACCTAAAGCTAGGTAGCTAAGCATTTACGGAGTAGTACTTGAACTACAACGGTATAATCGGATTGAGGAGATGTGAAGTTGGGAAAGTTTATGATACTTGGTCTGTCTCGGGCGTGCGTGTTCATTCAAGATAGATGCCATGAAGGGTTGGTTTTCATATTTTCATCAGAATTCAAATTGTATATATATCTGCCCTTTTGGTAACACAATTGAAATCTGCCTAAGGAACTCCCAATGTCCCATGAATCATTTGACAACCCAGTGATTATATATAGAATGCCGAGCATGTAGGAAATGGCCGCCAGACAGAATCTGGAGGATTTATAGTTCGACGCCGCCGCTGATCGGAGAGTTGAAGACACTCCCAGTCAAAGCCTCAGTCGGTCTCTTGTGTCGCGGTGGTAGTGGTAGAACATTGAGAGGTACCGAGTTTATTGGGATATAGCACTGATGTGCAATCGACGGTGAGATGTCTCCAGTTTCTACCCGCCGGGAGTGGTGACGGGGACGTCGACAAATTAGGATTCAAGCCGTGCTGCCGGACGCACTCTCGGAGAGGATGAGAAGACAAAGAAAACTGCCTTACTTGAATAAAAGCTGCCTGTGTTTCGTGGTCGAATCCCGCGCCTCGTATTAATTCCCATCTCCGGCCTGTCCCAATCTCGTTCCGCAAGATCAACCCCAATTACGAACGCCCGCACCCCTGGTTCAGATAATCTGGCCGCAAATCAAAAGTATCAACCCAATCTGGGGGTGATCGTATTCGAGATTCAGTATCTATGGTACAGAAAAATATTGACTACGGACGACAGATTCAATGACGGAGACCGGTTCGCACCTATCTATAAATCCCCGCAATGCACGCCAGGAGAGACACATCTGAAATGCCGGGAACATGACACCAGACTCAATGCACATCATATTAGACCTATAATGGCCGGAGAACTCGTTTTCATCACCGGAGGCAGCGGCCACGTCGGGTTTCGCGTGCTTGTGCGGGCGCTCGAGGCTGGCTACCGCGTGCGGGCTGCGGTGCGGAGCCCCGACAAGGCCCGGCAGATCCTGGCCACGCCCTCCATCCAGGCTGTTCAGCCCGGCGACGACCGGCTGTCATTCGTGCAGGTGCCGGATCTGACCGCTGAGGGGGCCTACGACCAGGCGATCCGAGGCGCGCAGTATGCCATCCACGTGGCCTCGCCGATACCGCAACAAACCCAGCTGAATAACCTCGATCAAGACACTGCCAGTAGTGCCCGCCTGGTCGAGCACTTCATCGACCCGGCGGTCCGCGGCACCCTGGGGCTGCTGACGGCCGCACACAAGGCCCGCACCGTCCGACGAGTTGTGATCACCTCGTCCGGCGCGGCGATCGTGCCGTGGTCGTTCGTGGTCTCTGGTGGCGGCGTCGGGAGGGTGTTCGACGCCAACAGTCGCGTGCCAACTCACCCCGCGGAGTACGAGTACAGCTCCGCCTTCGAAGCCTATGCGGCAAGTAAAGTGGCCGCATTGAACGAGGCAGAGCAGTGGTTGGCGACGACCCGACCGTCTTTCGACGTGATCCATCTGTTCCCCGGGTTCGTGATCGGACGGGATGAACTTGCCCGCACACCGGCCGATCTGATGCGCGGATCCAACCAGGAGGTGCTGGGGCCGGTGGCCTACGGGGCCAAGGACAGATGCACCCCCAATTCTGCGGTCCATGTGGATGATATCGCCGACGCGCACGTCCGCTGCCTCGATCCCACCGTCCCGGGAAATCAGGGCTACATCCTCTCCTCGGGAGGTGTGGAGGGAACCGATTGGCAGAACAGCCTTGAGATCACCGCGCGCAGGTTCAGAGACGAGGTCGAGTCGGGCCTGCTGCCGAACAACGGGCAGATTCAGTCGATTCCCATTCCTTTGGACACGAGCACGTCGGAGACGGTGTTGGGGAACAAGTTCCGCTCGTTCGAAGAGCAGGTCGTGGATATCGTGTCGTATTATCTTCAACTGGTGGCTGCTTGAACAAGGTGTTATCTCGAAGCTGGTAGGAGGTTGTTCGCTGTGGTCGCACCGATTAGACAGTGTGACTGTTTGGGCAGTAGAAAATCCATTCCAGTATCCTGTTTCTTAGGCCGGCGCTCCAGCGTCTGTTCCATTCGTATATACAATCACATAATCACCCATCCCACCGGCTCATTCTCGTACCCTGTTCCCGGTCTTCAGTCTGGGATTAACGTCTCATTTATTCATCTCTCCTCGACTTAGTGTTGAATAAGGTCACTGTTTCATGAACTACAGATTGCTAGAACTATATCTCTGTCATCATTGTACATTGGCACGAACAAAGAGGATCGCATTGAAGAAGAAGAAGATGATGATGATGATGATGATGTGTTCTCAAACTGCCTACTGAGCCATCAACTATAAAGCACGTGAGCACATGTAACCCTGACCGCATCTGGATCTCCCGAAGAAGATTCGTTCTCCTCAGCAAATCAGTTTCTCCCTGTTGATCAATCACGTCATGGAAAGAGTAGTACCCCCAGAGGATAAGATCGGCGAAGGCACTAAAGGACTAAGGGCGCAGATAGAGCGATATAGCGGGAAGTCAACAGCAGCCCCTCAAACACACCACCATATTAATCTTTATCAGCCAGCAATAGTAATGCCCACCATGACCAGAGCAAGAAAGCGCCCAACGCAAGGCCACAAAACATCTCCTACTGTTCTCAAAGCTCGTTTCACTCACAGCAATAGAGACCAAGTTCTTCCTCCCTTCACCCTCAAAGGAATCAATACTTGCATCCTACATTGTTGTAACGCCTTGCCCAACGCAGCCCGAAGCAATAGGCCAGCATGAGGCGCTGTATATGATCTCGGCGGTCGCCCAAGCCCTCAAAAGCGATGCGAGTCGGCTCCCAGCGAACCGACTCAGGACCTCGTGGGTCTTGCGCTCCAAGCGCCAGATCATCTCTTCCAGCGCCGACAGCTGGGTTTCGACGGTCTGGATACGAGAGTAAATTCCCTCCGCGGTGGTGACGTCCGCGGCGCCGGAGATCATTAGCCATACGAAGAGGGTCTTGAGCTCGCGCTGGAGAGCCGCCTAGCGCTGGATTGCAAAGTTCAAGTCGACGTCGTCGCGGACCAGCGCTTCCACGTGGCCGAGCTGCCCCGCTGCACCCTGGAAATACAGTCAGGCCCGGGCTTCCTGGGCCTCGTGGAAGTCTCCCACGTCTTCGCAAAATCTCTCGTCCCAACGATTCAGCCATGCTGTTACTGGCTCTGGGAGGATGCTCCACGGCATGGCGGATGTAGAATGTGTGTCACGAGTCAGGAACTGATGAATGTGGTGTGGATCGGAATAGTAGCTTATGGTTGGAGGAACGACGGGTTTTCGGCGGAGTGGGATGGAAAGACAAATGGATGGCTGTGTGGCATTGCTCTGGCTCGGTAAGCCCTACATCATCACGGCGAAGCCCGCAGGCCCCTTGGCCTCTTGAGTCCGTAAGCTATCATGATGAAAACATGCGGATCGTATTTCCCTAACTGCTGCCCCTCATATAAAGAGTTCATTTTCTCTCCTCCGGCACGACTGTTTTAGTCGTTTTCCTCCTGGAATGTGCCGATAACTGAGTGCATTCTTCTCCGACACAATAGAAATACACCTAGATTATACCGTCCTTCCCACCCACGTTCGATACAGATGACATAGCAGGACGCAAGTACTACTGATCTTTTCTTGTCCCGACTCTGTCTCGCGAGAGTATGGAGCAACAATCCGTCGTGTCTGCAACTCGGAACCAGCAGGAGTTGATCGGGAGACGCAGCGCTATCAACGAAAGGATCGCTTCAGAAATTCAAAGTGCAACCACACACTTGCAGAGTCTCAAGGAAGTGTTGGGATGCGTTGAAACGCAGCACAGAGAGGTGCTCGTCCTCGATGACCAGATTTGGCGGATGGAAGAACAGCGAGACCGTGAACAGTCGGGATCTATCTCTCTTCTTGCTCTCACCGATCGCGACCTGCAACGCAGCTTCGGGATCGTGGTTTGCGATGATGATTATGACTGGCTGGCCCTTCCAACTGACGTTCATCCAGTGCCAGGTAGGTATGTCCCCAAAGAAATCGCATTTGATAATTTCTCCCAGGAGCGGCCCGTGGCCAGCTAAGAGATATGGGAATTACTGATGAATATAACAGCCGATTTCAAGCTCGAAGTCTCTGAAATCATGAATGAATACTCCTATGATCACTCAAACATCGATCAATACAGCCCGCTCGGTTGGATTCTTCTACAGATTGCCCACGCAGTAAACACCGTCCAGGAGTTCAAGACTGGCATGATGAATCTCGCGCACAACACGGACCTGCTGCACACCTTTGCGCAACACAATAACATGACTCTTGCTGGCCGGACGGACTACACCCTCTGGTACCGCGACCCGGAGATCGCTCGCATCCATCTGGTGGTGGTCGAGGCCGATCCCGTCAAGACGGAAGAGCAGGCAGAGACGCGGGCTATAGCTTACATGCGTACGTGCTTTCCTAAATCAGACCGCTAGATCTTTCCGCGGTGAGAGGACAAAGGAAAAAGCCCTTTCTGACGTGCTCAACTGTCTAGTCATGGTTCAAGAATCCCGTTGGCAGGCCTGCGACATGCTTGCCGCGGTCTACGTTCTTGTCCACGATGAGAACAGCCGTACCTTGACGTTCCTCCGTCTGGACACCACAAGAAAGGTAGGAGGTCGGAGTCGAAGGGTCTGCACCAGAGTATTCTCCCCGCGCTGACAGTTTACAGATCCAACGCACGACCGAACGTTGGAAATTCTTTTCTTCAACCAGGGACTTCGCCATCACATCAATCCTGTGGAATATCTTCGGGGAGGCGCGGATGTATGAGGATAGCTCGATGGATCCAGACTACGAGGATAGTCTCCGGGACCCAGACTCTGAGGGTTCATCCACTTGCACCGGGGGGGATAAGGAGGACTTGACCTTAAGTGACTGCTGATGGTGATTTCTGCCGGATTGTATCTCTGATTTTCGTGTGATTCGTTGTATCACTAGTCGGGTATAAGACTTCAGATTTCGAATGTCTATTTTGCTCGGTTCGTCCTTTTGCAATGCGGTTCTTAAAGCACTTCTTCCGGCATGACTGCCTGGTGTTTGAGAGTAAGAGAAATATTGTGATTTCCTGATGGTCTCTTGGGTTAGGGCTTGAGGGTGCCAGAGACGCTCAGAAATTCACTGGCCTCAACTGAGGTACAGACAGAAGGAAGTAGATGTTCTTCAATAGGTGTAGTGCTGTGGAATTGCCCCAAGCATAATGATCTTCCCCCAAGCATATATTATGTCATGGTTTCTGCTGTGTATCCTCTTGGCAAATCACATCCCTTGCCTAAGACAAGACAAAGCTTTTATTTCACATGAATCGTTGGTAATTGAGACCAGGGCAGGTGATGTTACACAACTATACAGAGCTGATCATCTCTTTTCTCTCTCTTTATGGTAGCCGAACGCCGCGCTTCTCATGTACGTTCACGTCACTTCGCCTACTCTGAACTCGAGCGTTGTCCTTCGCCACTGCTAGTATGTCCTACTCTAGTCTGAGTACAAATACGTCAATATTTTTCTTTGTTCATGCTGAATACAGCCGACTTTTACAATCCACACCCGCACGATCTCTACACACAAGTCATTCTATTATCCCACGCTCATCAGCCCACCCATCTGGAGGCTCACACACACAATGAAAATCCCCATCAGCCTCATCACAACTCTCATAAACTCAGCTTCAGCCGCCCTCGTAACGTACTACCAGATCCAGCCCGCAGGCACCACCGACACCCTGCATGCGACCGGGGACCTCCGCTTCTACCAAGCCAACGACTACCTCAACGTATGGGCCATCGACCCCGTCGACGGCGGCGCCACCATCAAGAACGCCTTCACCAATATCAATTCGTATATCAGCTGTGATGACACGGCGTGCACGTCTGTTGCTCAGCAGCCGACAACCTTCACATTTGAGGATGCTGGTGCGGGGGCATATAGGGTCTGCAACCCTGCGGATGGACTTGTCTGGACCGCTGCGGACTCCACCATCAAACCCGCCCCGGCCGATGGCAGTCCAGCGCAGAATTTTGTGTTCCAGCCGGTGCAAATGACTGTGCCTCCTTATTGAATACGGGTGGTTCGTACCGCGCTGTGCCTGTCCTGTGGATCCCCCTCTCCGCGCTGGGTATATGCATCTTTTTTCCCCGCCAGTCGGACAGGCAGTGTTATGGCTACAATACTGGTGTTTCTGTGAGAGTACTTAGGAACGTGCATTTGCTTTCACGCATGATAGGCGTGAATTGCAATGAAAGCTTGGGGAAGGCTTTGCATGGGTCAATATATCGCCACCAAAAAAAGGGGGGGGGAACCATTTGCTAATTTGCTACCGTATGAAGAGAGCTTTGATGGGAAATTATTGAGCAAATTTATCGTTCTGTTCGATTACATATAGCTTTTGTTTTAGCTGGATCTACAACCGTCCTAAGTCCCAAGCGGGCATGGACTTCCGGCCAAAGGATATGTTCTTCAATATATAGGTGACGATGTACTAGTTGGGTATTCAGAAAATCAAAGACTAATTTAAGTCAAGGTACATAAGCAATAGATCTACAATTGAGTAGTCGGGTATCTAGATATAGCTGAGCAGACAGAGTTATAGTGCAGACAGTAGAAAGAAGGCAGGAGGGCGGCACGTTCATCAATGAGGAACGGGAGCGACGCAATAATGTAACATTGTTCAGGTAGATAGGGTCCTTGAAGATGTTAAGCATGGAAGAATGCTGTTGTGAGAAAGAACAATAGAATTCATTCAAAACAATAGCCGTTCGGTCAATATTACCCGCAATCCTGCAAGATTTAGGGCCCGAATCAGGCCAGCTGCGGACCTATTGATCCTATTAATGCGCGCATGTGACTCTTTTTCCCTGTAGGGATGCTTGCCGTGCATAGTCCTTACAGGTGTGTTGTTACGGAATAGAAGGTGTTTGCAAAGAGAGACAGGCCATCTACGCGGCTATTGAGGATATTCAAACGGGGTATAGATGATCAAGAACGTCGAAAAGACTACATGAAGATTCGTTACGGGACTTTGATGTGATACTCCAACGCATAGACAGTACATCATGTTTGTGTTGCATTCCGTTTGCCACAGGTTTAGCTTGAATTAAAAGGAGGCCACCGTGGGTGAAAGTCTCTTATAATGTCACAGTATGTCACACCCGGCTGCGTTATGTCATTGGTTCGAAATGTTGATGCATCCTTGCAAACATCTACTCCTGTGCAAATCAATCTCCGCCTGCCTACCTTCTGCCCCGGTAGGATGAAACATGGCAAGCGCATAAGTTGCCTTGGAAACGAAAGCATCCAAGATTCTGGAAGACTCCCAGCGGCAGGATCAGTTGAAGTGATCCACAGTCCTGCACGCTAGTTTTAGGCTTAAGATCCCGCGGTGACGCCAATCATATGATGAGCCGTATTCTTCTCAAGATGAACGAGAAGTTGCCCTCCGGCGGGATACCGAGCCCGGGATTTGTTCGGCCTGTAACCCTTAATGAGGAGATCGGGCCGGGTGAGCGGCACAGCAAGCCGTATGCCAAGACAGATAAGAAAAAATAAGAAAGGAAAAAAATATGATGTGGCTGACCTTAAGTGCTGCTTACAGTTGAAACGTGGCTGCCACTATTCTTTAGCTTAAGATTACTAAGATAGTGCTTGTCCTCCATATCTCTGACGTAGTGCAGTCATGTACTGTAGATAAGTGCGCACTCCACAAGACATCAACAAATGTACTCAACATCCAAAACTCTCCGCGATCGATCATGGACTAATGTTTCCGGAAGAGACATAACCAGGAATTATGAGGGTTCATATGGCGGAGAGTTTATCCAAATCCCACCGACGGACACATTCTCGGAGACTTCTCCCGACTGGTTCTTCCGCCGAGGACGGACAGTTGACTGTATCAGAAAAAAAAATCTTTATCAAAGACAAGAAACCAGTTGCTGATGAATTCTTGCCCCACCCTTTTGCAACCCCTGCGAAACCGAGACTCCCGATTTGATGCCCAGGTTGCCCGCTGAACCCACCTCTTCCCGATAACCATTCTTCTATATAAATCCGACTGCCACTTTTTCTCTTCTGGAGATGATACACTCTCATAGCCAAATTCGTCTGCATTTTTGATTCATATCCTGCAAAATGACCTCATTCACCTACGACGTCTTCCGCGGCTCCGCCGAGGGCAAGATTGTGCCCGCCCAGACGACCAGCGAGCTCGGTCACGGCGAGGTCTTCATCGAGACCACCCACTCCGGTCTCTGCGGCACAGACGAGCACTACCTCAAGGCCGACCAGGTGCTGGGCCACGAGGGTGTGGGTATCGTCAAAGCTGTTGGGCCTGGTGTCACCGACGTGGAAGTTGGCGCGCGGGTTGGCTTTGGATATACGCACAGCGTCTGCGCCAACTGCGATAACTGCGTGACTGGTATGCTCCCCCATGCTTACCCTCCGTGCCCTATCCCACCCACCCCAAAAACGAGATGCTAAATAGAGCTGCAACAGGATGGGACCAGTACTGCCGCAACCAGAAGCAATACGGCTTCCACGACCTCCACAACGGCACCTTCAGCTACGGCGCCATCTGGGACGCCAAGTGCGTCTACCCGATCCCGGAGGGGTATGATTCCATCAACGCCGCGCCGCTGATGTGCGCCGGCGCCACTGTCTGGACCGTCCTGTCCGAGTACGGCATCAAGGCCACCGACCGCGTCGCCGTCATGGGCATCGGCGGGCTGGGCCACATCGCCATCAAGCTGGCTGCCGCCATGGGCTGCCACGTGGTCGTGCTCTCCAGCTCCGAGGGCAAGCGCCAGGAGGCGATGGAGTTCGGCGCCTCCGAGTACCACGTCTTCCGGTCCGGCGGCCCCGTCCCCGAGGGCTTCAAGCCCGTCAACCACCTGCTGCTGTGCGGGAGCGGATCGGTGGATTATCCTTCGTATGTTGCCTGCCTGCCCCCCCCCCCCCCCCACACATTTCTTCTAACGACCTGTCCCACTGACTGTTTCGTAAGGCTCATCCCCCTCATGGCCACCCACGGCAGCATCTACCCGCTGACCGTCGCCTTCGAGCCCGCCCGCGTCCCTATGCTCGACCTCGTCTGGCGCGGCGTCCGCATTCAGGGCTCCCTCGTCGCCTCCCGCAACAGCATCCGCTCCCTGCTCGACTTTGCCGCCCGCAAGAACATCGTCCCCACCGTCATGACCTTCCCGCTCACCAAGGAGGGCATCGAGGACGCCATGGAGACCCTCCGCCAGGGCAAGATGCGCTACCGCGGTGTCTTGGTGAAGCCTTGAGTTCGGCACCCGGCTGTGGGCTTCGCTTGCCTCTAGGGCTGTGTATGTATGACGATGATGATGTGCATATCTGTGGCGTTGTGGGTTATAGATTTATAGATTTTCTTCTTTGGGGGGGTGGGTAAATTTAATAATGCCGGTGCTCGAATTCGTGCTGGTGCTTTCTTGCTTTGTCTTTGGGTTTCTGAAGGGTGTTCTATAGCTTCGCGGTGTACGTGTTGAGTCGAGAGGATATTCTCCGCCGAGTCTGGTTGGTAGATAAGATATCGGGTGGAAGAATGTCTGGGGAATGTCTCCGAAAACTTAGCCCGGGGTGGGCTGCCCAGTGGAGATCTATTCATGCTCTTTACCGATGGGGCGGTAGTACTACTCAACAACGGTGATTGGTTTAGTGAACTACTACTCCAATCAGTGGCAGGGGCACGAGAACGATCGCAGCTAAAGTCAATCTGGGGCTCCATGAAGAGATTCACTATGTGGAGCATGGCATCTGATAAAGGCTGGCTATCTATTATAGCGACATCTGAACTGAGAATGAGTATGGTTCTGGTAGAGAGAAATGGGAAGAATATTATTGCTGGTGTTGGCACAATCGGCTATTGTGCAATGGATAAACCGAGATCTTGCCAGTCTTCTAGTCGTAACTGCATAGCTATCGGATAAACACAGGCGATCTAGGACCATCGAATAATGGAGAACTGCGGAGGACGAAGACATACTCAGAATCTACCCCGAGTACCCACAAGCCACCATTCGCACCCGCCTCACTGCTTTATCAGGCGTGAACACATGTAAGGTCAAACCCAGACCTTCCCTCCGCATCAGCTCCAGATGACACCTCTGAATGTATATCGTATCTTTACGTTCAAGGCGCCGACCCGGCCATCAGAATCTCCGCCGTGCGTCCTAGCGAAGTGCCCTCATCGTCGATCTCCTCCAACTCCCGATCGCTGACCTCGCGCGGTCCAATGCCGGCCAGACCCCACACCGCCGGGCGTCGTCGCGCGAGCAGCTGCGCCGCCGTCCGTTCATCTGAATGCAAATGTCCTCCCGATTTGCGGAGTAGCAGCACATGCTCCGAAAGTCCAGCGTTGGCTGCCAGGAACAATGGTGTGCGACCGTTTCGATTCCGGATGTGTACTGAGCCACCCTGGAGCAGGAGGTATCGAAGAATCTCGACAGATGGAGAGGTGGCCGCCAGATGCTGCAAGGGGAGTCAGTCGTCTTGTCCGGCTGGTAGTCAAAACACGATAAACGGAGCCACTTACGATCGGAGTGTTGCCTGAGTAGTCCGCATCATTGAGCAGCCAGTGATGCTCCCTAACCACAATCTCCTTCACCCGTTCAATATCCCCTTGGGCAATCGCGTAACCCAGCACAGTCAGAGACTGAACGCGCTCCGGAAGAGCACCGTCTGGGTGACGGAACACAGGTTGCGATACTTCGGTCAGTTCTCCGCGCAGAGAGACGGACATGTTCTTCGCGACCCATTCGGGTGTGGAGTCGGGCAAGGCCAGGAGATACGCCAGCTTCGTCAACGCCGCTTCCGTAGTCAGGTCGAGGCCTGCGACCACACCTGCGCGTGACAGGCTCATACCCGGAGCATAAACGGGACTGACACTTCCCGTGAGACCTGTGTTGTCCATGTTAGACTCAAATGACATTGCCACGGTAATTATGGGCCAAGCGAGACTCACATTGGGTGACATTAACAATGACAATCCCTCTCTTGATGGCAGCAGCCAGCACGTTTGTCATAGCATTATCCTGTCCGCTG